TGAGCCGCAAGGAATGTACTTGCGAAATCATGCATTATTGACAAAGTGATTGCTATTTTTATGATTTATATAATTCTTAATGTTATATAGTGCTTAATTATTATCATTATTGTTTTTTATTTATTTATTTTTGAAAACAGTCACAAACTTGGACAAAAATGTTAAGAAAAATGAATGTTTCCATGTCTAGTTTCAAGATAAAGCTGTTGATATCACTTGGCAACTACTCCCCCACCTCCCCAAAAAAACAATGTTGAAATCCGGCTGGATCATTTCTGACCCCGCCTTAACAAGATTGACTAGGTTGGGGTGAGGGGAGGGTCCATAGTGGTACCAAATCTGCGGAATAGCTGTTATGTGGGTGAGGAAGTGTAAAATTCTTAACACGTTTTGACCAAGACTGTAGATTTTTGTGTTTTCATTTGGTCAGAACCAACTTTTGAAAGTATTGTACATATTGTTACCTATTTCTTGTCAGTCTTGTGTACTGAACATTATATTATTTCCTGCAGGAGTTGAAAGTGCTAGTTCTGAAACTTTTGTGGATCAGCTTACAACACTGTTCATGGAAGGCATAGGGTGAGTTTAATGCCGGATAAAGGGCTAAGAGCCTCTCTGTTTTATAACAATGCTCAGTGGTGCATATTGTTTTCATCTTTTCTGCAAGAAGAAAAATGTGGCTAAGAAACTCGTGAGGTCAACTTACAGCAAGTCTATTTAAGAACCTGTTAGGCTAAAATTTATTTGCCAGTTACATGTATGCCCCATTTATACAAGAACCTGTTTAGCCTAAATTTTAAACAGGTTCTAGTTTTCTAAAATCTATAAACAAAATTATGTACACTTTGGTGGCCTAGAACTGCCATGAGGAATTTTCTTGATAATTCAAGAAAATTCATCTTTTGTAATCGATTAGTTTTAAAATTATTGCATTTTTTTCTATAAAGAAAATATAAAAGATATATTCTTTATTTTTTAAAGACAATTTTTTTTAAAAATGCTTGAATTCGTTTGACTTTTGAAAGTACTTAACAAATTATTTTTAAAAAAATAATATTAAAAGGAGTATTTGTTTTCATATTAGAAACTCTTCATTTTTATTTTGGTTTTTGTTTTTGTTTTTTTTCCCCTAAGGCGAATATTTTTTTAAGGGTCTGGAACGTTTTTTTTATTTTTTTTTTGTCCTGACAAGCCGAGAACTGCCATAACCCAAAATGCTCCTCGCACCTGACGTTATCCTATAATCCTTTTCGCTAATATCAATTGTGGTGCCAAACTCTGTGATTAACATGGCGGCTGGGCGTGATAAAGATTGGCGTAACTTTCAAAAGAAAATGAAAGAGAAAAGAGTCGCAGGGAAAGAGAAGAAAGCAAAGGGGAAAGGTGCAGCAGCACTACCTGACGACACCATCACAGTTCAAAGGCTTAGCGCAGAAGTCACAGGGAAACTGCAGACGTACTCCCGCATTGGGGCCCGTATCTTCGTCTCTTATGAATTCGAAGAATACAGGATCGAGAATATAAAGAGTGCTTGCATGAAGCACTTCGGGATTCCGGAAGATGGCATTTTATGCTGTGATGTCCTGGCAGGCGAACAGGGGCCTTCCTGCTTCTCTGTGAAACAAATTCCCGATTTTAAAGTTGTTCACGTGAGGTTCATAGAGAGGTCGGATGGCGAAGGCGAACCAGAAACCAAACGTTCAAGGCCTGTTGCACGTTCAAGCCCAGTACGAGCACGATCGCCTCGGAGGGCTACTGCTGGCGTGGAAATTGTCTCTACCTGGGAGTGTGTATAATATGCGAGCCAGCGAGTCATGCGAGTCAACAAGGGAGCCATGCAAGTCAGCATAAAAAAACTTTGTTTTTAACGTAAACTACAAAAAACTAGCCTCTGTAACTAAGTAACGTATATGTTCCAAAGGCACGTCCTTTAAAATTCAGCTTCAGAAAAATTCGCCAACATACAAATTGAACGAGGTGAAACAATAACAAAGGTTTGAGAAGGCATTAAACAAGGGTTTAAAGGTTCTTCTTGGGTCGCGTTTAATGAGTCACACCATATGTGGTAAGTGACGTGACCAGAACATAAGAAAAAAACACTCTGTAAAACCCAAACGTCTGGCATCTTTCACAATAAAACCAATGCCAATGGCTTAAGAATGTCGCAATAAAAAATCTGACTTACTAACAAGTTTAACCTTCGTTCTCAAAATTCACATTTATCGAAAAAGCTATGACGTCATTGAGGGGTATTTTCATACATTTTCTTTAACAGACTTTCTTGCTTTCGTCTGAACGCTAATTTCATGCTACAGATGTTAAAAAAAGTCAAATTGCTTATGATTCGCCAAAAAAAGGATTCTCTTTCCTTTGAACTTTTGCGCTTTTTCATTTCTAAAGCGGGATTGGGGACTGGCACTAGTTGCGCATGTGTAATGTCCATTTAGTGTTGTCTTAGGCCCGGTTCAGACGCCGTACTTTTCATGAGCCGAACCTAATACATTGAATTAAGTACATGAAAAGTTCGGCGTCTGAATCAATTAGGAACGCCTGTTTCAATTTGGAACGGCTCAGCCGTTCTTTTCGCCTAGCCCGGCCGGGAATTTCGCCTTTGGATCGACTTAGGAACGCCTTTGATTCAGACGCCGAACTTTTCATGTACCGAACCAAATGCAGAAATTCTTACAACGTATTTTGTAAGCAGTTTGACCGAAATGCGCATTTTTCGCCTTCTGAATTTAGTTCGGCTGGAATTAAGATCGGCGTCTGAATCACTTTGCCGGTCTAAATAATTTGGGTCGGCCTTAATTCGAATTAGGTTCGGCTCATGAAAAGTTCGGCGTCTGAACCGGGCCTTATCTTCAGTTTCACGGTTCCCACTATGTTAGCGGTTTAAGACACGTGAGAAATAGTAACAAATAACATAATTTACCTTAACAAAAGAGGAAAAAGATGAAGGCAGATAACAAAACGATATTGAAAGGAGAGCGAGGATAGCGAAAACTCGTGCCAAATAGCCAAAAGCCGCCAAAAGCCGAAGAAAGGAAAATGGACTGGGAACTAACATCTGTCTCGCATGGCTCACATGATGACTCGCATGACTCGCATGACTCGCTGGCTCGCTGGCTCGCAGTTTGTCAAGACCCAAAATATTATAGGGATCAAAACTTACCTTTTCGAAAATTTCAGCCAGAAAAAAGGCTCCCGAAAATTCTAGGTGACCTTTTTAGGGTAAAAATCCGTTAGAAATGGGCAATTATACCATTTTTTAGATGTTCGAAAATCTTAGGAGAGGCAGGCAAGCAACAAATTTTACAACAAATGTTTCGAAAATTCTAGATCTCAAATCGTCTTCCGAACAGATATGCTTCCGAAAATTGTCGTTAGGTGCCCCTGATTATAGTTTTTGAAACGTATTTTATTTTGTAAAGATGAGTAACTTAAGTAGAAACAATAGCGTTAGGGAATACAATTGGAAGAAGCTAGTTGACACAATAAGTAGATACTGTTTTATTGAGTGGAGTAACATGATATGGGCAGAAATATATTTCGGCAGTTTGATAATTTTCTTGGAAGTTAATAAATGTTAGGCTATCAACCTTGACATGGCGTGAAACATAACTTAATAGCAGATGTTGTAATGAAGCCGAGGTGATTTCTTAAAATCGTTGAGAAAATTTTGTAGTAAACAATTTGCGTTTTTTTACCTACGAATTGTAAAAGGGCCAAAGACCAACATCTTCACGTGCAAATTGTGTGCATGAGTTATTTTTATAATTCTGTTTACTAGATTACTGTGTGATAACTCGAATTCCCTCACGTACGAACAACGAAAGGGGGCAAAGTCCAACTCTTTCACGTGCTAGTTGTGTGACTGTACATCTCATGCAGATTGGCTTTTCACAATAATAATACTAACTTGAACGTATGAAGACCTGTTTCGTTTTGTAACCAATGCCTTAAAAAAGGCTCTTGTCTTTTAAGAAGCAATAGCTTTTAAAACATGAAGAAATAAGTTGTTGGAGTTAAGGACTGTTTCACTGAGTAGAATCGCACGTGAAAACCTCGTGAATTGTGATGATGCAACCAACTACCACAATGATAAGAATCCTGGTATTTCTTAACTACTCGAATTCGATGAGTCACATTTTGGCTTAAGAAACTCCGAGGAAACCTTGGAGTTTTCCTTGTAATCAACGTTTGGTTAGTAGATATTTATTTTACTTTGATAATCTGTTTAACTTGCACCAAATGTAACAGGGAAAGGCAGGGGAAAGTGAATATATAGCATGAGGATCGACGCATCTGAGCGTTTCGCGTTTTCATTTATATACGGCAATACCCAATTTCGCACAAAAACCCAGTCTACATTTAGGAGGAAAAAGGTAGATTCATCACTCTTGGTAAGGTTACACTGAAGCATTAAAGTTACACTGAAGCATTCAAAACAGCTCATGCACGTTTAACGTGCCTATGTTACCCTCAGTCTGCATTTTACCCCTGGTCCGCAGTCTGCAGCCTGGTTAGACCCATATCCTTCAGGAGGTAGACCCATATTTGATAGAAGTCTTTAGGGGTGAATAGAATTTTATTCAATCTTCAGGGGTAAGAAGAAAAGATAACTCCTCAACCAGGGGTACGGATATTAAATGCAATATAGTTAGCTGAAAAAGCTTTGTATGTGGGTATACATTCATTCTATAAACCTAATATGTACTTTATATGCTCTTCTAAGTGTATATCAAAGTGGATTTGCAGTGACTAATAATTGATTTAAAGGTTTTTTATCAACCCGATAGGTGGATTTGTGGATATGTTGTGACAAAGTGGACTTGCATAAATGTAATGATCATGTATCCACATATGGACCTATTTTTAGGAACTGCTTTAAAGTGACAAGGCAGTTATTAACCTGAATGATACTTCTGTCAGATATTAGAACACCTTCACGGAGTAGTTGGGATGATGAGGAGTCGACACCCAGCAGGTCAAAATGGGAAATGCCATCACCCGCCAGATCTGTTAGTGAAGATATAAGGAGTGAAAGAAGGTGAATCAATGTAAAGTCAGAACTGCATTGAGTAAGATGAGCTAATTCATCACCATTATAAGGCTTATAGCCCTTCACTTGGACAACTACATCTTAGGCAAATCTAGCAATTTGTATTTGTATTTATTAGCAAAGTCAACAAACTAAATTGTCGTTAAATATATTGTGCTTGATAACTATTGTTCTTCATTTGTAGATCACATCGTAGAGTTGGTGAGACACCTCGTTTTACTCCCACACATAAATACAATGTTTGGGAAGATGATCGCCGCAGTACTGGAGCAACACCAAGATTCTCCAAAGGAAAAAGTAAGAACTTGACTGGTAGCTTACACCATTTTACATACAGAAAGTTCTCAAAAATGATGAAATTATGTATGTTGTGTTCAATGCCACAACTTTCTGTGGGAATAAAGTGCAAAATAATTTTTGGATTAAGTACAGACTGTCACCTACAGTATATAAGAGATAGACTTCCTGAGAGGCAGTTCGCCCAAAGCCAGTCTCCTGTAGGGAAGGTAAGGGTATTTTATGATGGGTTGTATTCTGGGCCCAGGCCCAGTTGTTCGAAGGCCGATTAGTGCTTACCCCAGTGTTAAATTTAACCCAGGTTTCTTTTTCTTGTGTTCAAAAGCATTTTCTCGGAAAATTTTCTCTGTTATTTTTAGAGCTTCCAATCATCAACTTATAGACAAAAAGAATTAAAACTGAAATGCTTTTTAAGCTTCAAATCTGAATTTAAACCTGCCACTAACCCTGGGTAATCTTAACCTAGCTTTGAACAACTTTGCCCAGGTTCTTTAGGGCTAGGTTGGCAGCAATTGGTCATGATCAATAATAATAAGAAATTATGATCACATTCCACACAGCTAAAAGTGTACATGCCATCAATGTGTTTTTAGGATCCGATGTTAGGCATGAATCACAATTTCCATCAGATGTTGACAGGGAAGAGTGGGAAGAAGAACAAAAGGTAATTGTCACTTGTTCAAAACCAAATTTTAAACATGGCATTTTAAAAGCTTGGTATTTTAGCCATAGTCCAGTCGTACCATTATGAAAGGTGGATGTATAAAATTATGTTGAACATTAGTAGTCGATGTAATATTAATAATATTATTATTATTAATTTATATTAGTGCTATTCAGCTAATCTTCCATAATTGAGCCTATTGTTGAGAATCTTAGATTCCTATAAGATATACATTTATGAAATAACTAAGATAGTAGGCGCGCTCTGATTGGCCGAGAGGAGTGTTTGCATGAGAGTATGTAAACATGGTTGTGGCTTCAAGTTGTTTGGCTTTTCGCGCGCTAATCACGCAAGCTCGAATTTGAAAAAGTTTTCGAGTTCAAAACTTGGCAAGTTTACTTTATTTGCCCATTCCTTGGTCGGCTGAAACATGGAAAATCATTACATAGAAGGTGAGTCAATTTTTCTTCGCTTAAGCTGACATTTTAAGCGAGAAAAATCCGTATTTTGTAAAGCATCTTTTTGCAAAACAAGAACTGATTACGCGTGCAAGACTTTGTGGACAAGATTTTGCTACTGGTAAGAATTTCTCTTTTAATCAGTGCCATACGAAGAGTTTTGCGTTTTTTTCTCGGGAAAGTTATTTTATAAAAGCAATAGAAAACTTTTTTCCTGTGTTTGCATAGCCTGATATAAACACTCGAGGCGTTGGGAGAATTCTGGACGGTTATGCAAACCCTCGACTTCGTTTCCGGTTTGCATAACTGTCTCGAATTCTCCCAACCCCTCTCGTGTTTATATCAGGCTATGCAAACACGGAAAACGTTTTCTATTGCTTAAGTAATATTATTATATAATGGAGTCTCTTTAAATTTGTTGACTATTACTATAACTGTCTTTACATTTTAACAGAGACTTGACCGTGCCTGGTATGACATGGATTCTGGTTACGATGAAACACACAATCCATTTGCTGATGTTAGTGAAGAGTACACTAAAAAGAAGGAAGAAAACATGGCAAAGAAAGCAGTCAAAAGAATGTCTGCTCAGCAGCGTCAGATCAATAAGGTATACGCAAAAGTAATAAGTATCAAATAATTTCAATTGAACACTTGTTTTCATTGTCATTGTTTTATTATTATTATTATTATTATTATTATTATTATTATTGATGCTTTATTACAACGACTCAGAAGGTTCACGTAGTCAATGTACTTCGTTATCCAGTTATGAGGTCCCTGATGTCTACATTTGTACTCAACTTGATGTTTTGACCATTATGGGTTGAAGTTAATCTACTTGGATTTTTTTTCTTCAGGATAATGACCTTTGGGAGACTAACAGAATGTTAACAAGTGGTGTAGTACAAAAATTAGAGGTTGATGATGATTTTGAAGATGACCAAGAAGCCAAAGTCCATTTGTTGGTCCACAACATAATGTTCCACCCTTCCTGGATGGACGAATTGTCTTCACAAAACAACCAGAACCTGTTATTCCAGTCAAGGTATTTAAATAACCCAGTTTATACATTTACAAGTTTGGTGGAGGAGTTAATCTCGGAACTACCAAGACTTCCTCAAATACTCCTAGGGTCAGGGTGGGATGTCAACTTGGGGCCTTCAGATTTCAAGTCCAATGTTCCAACTGATTGGCCATGCATGCTGCCACCTATGCATTATCTCCAGGAGTAGGGCGATGAATTTTCAGTTTCTAAGCAAACAAAACTAACCTGGTTTTAGTGTCAAATGAAGGCATTGATATTCTCCCGTTAATGATATTTTTTAACTAATGGGTGTTAAATTATTTTAATAGCAACCTAAGGAGCAAAAAAAAGTGTAAATTGTAATTTGTTTACCGACAGAGCACTAAGGAGTTCATAAGAACTTGCTGAAACGTGTCCGTGCGTTCCAGATCGAATTGGAATTTGAAAGTGTTGGTTTTTAAGGAGAGGGGAAAACTGGAGTACCCGAAGAAAAACCTCTCGGAGCAAGGGAGAGAACCAACAACAAACTCAACCCACATATGGCATTGACGCCAGGATTCGAACCCAGGCCACATTGGTGGGAGGCGAGAGCTCTCACCACTGCGCCACCCTTGCTCCCCAATATCAAGTGATTAATTTTTTTGCATGTTTGATTGAAAGTTACAATTTGTACAGAGTTATTGTACAGTGTAACTGACCAAATGTGTACACCTTTACTTATTTGTAGGATTCCACCTCTGACATGGCCACGATTTCTAGAAAAGGCTGCCATGTTGTACGCCTGCACAGAGAGCAGAAAGAACGACAGAAAGCTCAGCACAAGGATTGGGAACTTGCAGGAACTAAACTGGGGAACATTTTGGGAGTGAAAAAAGAACAAGAGGAGGTACCTTAACTTTCATTGCAGGAGTAATCTAAAGCTAGGATACACACTTTATTTTGACAGTTTTGCCTTGGCCAGCTCACACTTTTTGTGCCTGTGTTACAGAACTCAAAATTTAGAATAATAAACTCCATAGCAATGGTCCTTTTCTACAGAGGCGTTTTTGAAGTGGTTCAATCATTCAGTAAATGTGCTAAACATTATTTTGTAATCTAACTTATAAACCAGAGACTAGCTTTATGGTGTTCCCCATATTTTTATTATAAAACCTTTAAGTATTGTTCCTTGACTATGGCCTCTTGCCGGCCAACTCTGAGTAAACTACTGGAAGCCATTGAATAATCTTTTAGTTCCTGTTTTACCAAGGTTAAAACCACTCAGCTAGGCCTTGTGTGTCAAACCTGGTGAAACAATTTTGCTCGTTAGTAGCCTGTGAAAACAGCCGTCTCTCCTTGCTCCTCACCAACGGAGACATTGGCTGATTTAGCAACAAAACCGGAACGTCTGGTGACGACTGCGCGCGCATTTCAAACAACTGGATTGACCAATGGCAGAGTGGCAAATTGGGTACCGGAAGTCGAGTTTAGTCCTTTCCGCGCGCTTACCCGTCGTCAAATGACGTCCCTGTTCTGTTGCTTAATCAGCCTATTTTGTGGGCGAGGACCGAAGAGAATGAATGAATGACTGACTGACTGACTGACTGACTGACTGACTGACTGACTAAAGCAAGCCCTATGGTTCTTTTATAAACACAGGCAACATTAGCTCCAAGGGTGAGCGCCTATAAGAATTGTCCTACATTACATGCATTGTATGTCTGCATAATTCACTTACCCTATATTTCCAACTTTGCAGTATATGCATGAAGATGGCTACACGAATTACGGTATGATAGGTTGCACTCAACCTCGGCGAGTGGCAGCCGTGTCTGTTGCTAAACGTGTGAGCGAGGAGTTTGGATGTAGACTTGGTGAAGAAGTTGGTTACGCCATTCAGTTCGAAGATGTTACTTCAGAGGAACACTGTATGTTACATGCTGGGAGAGGTTCAGTATGGCGGAAGGGTCACAGACGACTTTGATAAACGGCTTCTAAACACTTTTGCCAAGGTGAATACTCTGAAAACTAACCGAGTGTCTGTATTGTAGTTAAGAAAATACACTGTTAGGCCTGTTTCAAACGTCGTGCTACTGCCGTGCTAAGCTGGCTCTACTGTAGCTCGACTGCGGCACGACACTAGCACGACTTGGTTTCAGACGCCGAGTTTAATTCAGTCGAATAGAACGGCTGTTGCCGAAAACGAAACACAAAAATAAAGAAACGGTTTAGCAAACTTTAAAATGTATTCCAATGTATTTATAATTTATGAATTGAGTTCGGCACGGCGGTAGCACGACTTGGTTTTAAACGTCGCCCTACTGCCGTGCTAAAGTCGAATTTAATTCGATCAATTGAGTTCGGTACGGCAGTAGCACGACGTTTGAAACGGGCCTTAGATATCAACACTTGTAAGAATCAAAGGGCCTAAATCAATTAGAAAGTAACCTCGGTATTTTGGGACGGTTGTCTAATTTCCACGGAATAAGTTGAGTCTTGTCAGGCACAAGACTTTTTTGGTTCCTGGAAACATTTTTATGTGCATGTTTTGCTTGGAAACTATCAAATCATGTATTTTTGCAAATCTTTCTGTTTGAACAGAGAAAAAGTTTGTTTGTAGTTGTATTTAACTAGGGACATTCAAGACCCAAGTTGTTTTGTCCTCAGTTTAGGGACCGTTCATTTTTTATGGGGTAGGGGGGGCTGGTGGGATTTGGAGGAGTGTAATTTGAAAATTTTATGACCCCCCCCAATTTCCGATTTTTTTCGCATGGCCCCCCCCCTTCATCAGAGTAATTTTTTGGAAGGCCCCCCCCCATGAATAAAAAAATACATAAGGTATTAAAAAAGTTACTGCATTAAAATTTCGTTTTGTTACATTTCACGTAATTTAGTGAAAGAAAGCTGAAAGCTAGAAAGCTGTTTTTAACAAATCCTCACTCAAAAGAATGAAAAGTCAATTTCAGCTCTTTTTGTTACTGCTCGTCCTGAGCGTGTTGTAGCTGGCCGCTCGTCTACATATTCCTCGTCTGAAGCGATAAAAGCAAGAACGACATCATTTGAGTCGTCTTCAGAGTCAGTCGCTAATTTTTTCGTCCGACCCCCCCTTCCTTCATTTTTTTTTTCGGCTGGCCCCCTTTCAAGCCAATTTTTTCGAGTGGCCCCCCCAAAATCCCACCAGCCCCCTCTCTCATAAAAAATGAACGGTCCCTTACAATTTCACTTTTACTGACCTTCAGCACGAGCTACCAGCATTTTTACAGATCTGCTCCCTGAGCCAATGGTTATGTAGTTTTTCACTTCATCTTTTATAGGTGTGGTTTAGCGAGTCAATGTTCCAGCAAAGTTTTAATTTCTACAAGGGTTATATCATACCAAAGTGTAGCTAGGTATCGCAATACATGGATCATATTGACACTCTCCCCCTTGTAGACTCCCCTGAGGTGTTTGGACTGCATCCAAACGCCGATATCACGTAAGTTGAGATTTAACGAAACAAGGCTTAGAACCCCTTGACTTCCAGTTTTAGAAAATTGTTTAGAAAGAAAAATAGCCCTAACTCTTTAAACCATCTTTTTGTGTTTAAAAATACGATACTGCAACAACCGTTGTAAAATCCGAGGAAGAAGTTGTAAAAAAGAACTTTGCACCTTTGCATGTTAAATTGCAGCTACGTTAACGATGCATTCGGCTGAAAAAAAAATGAACAGGGCTGTCGAAAATACACTAACGAGTATTTCACGTGTGTTTACAGATACCAGAGTAACCTGGCCAAGTCTTGTCTGGATACAATCCTTAGCATTCAGCCAAAGGATACCTCAGGCGGCGGAGGAGAAACCCGCGAGTCTGTTGTACAGCGGCTGGCTGATGACATGCTCGATAAGCTTCCTGAAAACTACATCGCACATGAGGTAAACTGAACGAATAAGATTATTTTGATGTTTCACTGTGTGTCCGAGTCTTCAGTTCTTTGTCAATCACGGAAAAAAAGTGGACCTCTTGTCATCGAGGACTTTGTAGCGTATAAACTGGTACTCGAGTACAAAGGTTGAAAATTCCTTTTTTTTTTTTTTTTTTTTTTCATTTCAGGTGAAGGCGAGGCTTTAGAAGATGGGAGCACTGTCTCCCATGAATATCTTCTTGAGGCAAGAAATCGATCGAATGCAGAGAGTGATAACCGCTGTGCGGCAGACACTGACAGATCTAAAACTGGCCATTGACGGCACCATCATTATGAGCGAGGTTAGCATTCTTCTATTCTGGCTTTTTGGCATTTTCGTCAAGTTTTATCTTTCTTTGAAAAACCAGAGAATCATCAAATGACCATGTGGACTGTTATCGCCAATCCTTGGCTTACAAAAAACGGAGCTGATAAAATGTTTTTGTTTGTTTCTCTGTGTTTTTTATTTGCCATCATGTAGATGGTCAGGAGAAGTGCCAATAGCGAGCTTAAGCAACAACGAGCACGACGACAGTGAAAATGTCACTAAAAAAAATTATTCGGTCTCCATTTGGAGCCGCGCAATTTGTCAAATGCAGGCCTCTTTTCCTGGAGATGAATTCTTATCGACAGGTTTGAAAAGAGAAAGGACCATTCGTCGTCGTATGTTGACGTCCTCCATAAAACGTCGCATTATGAGGTTTTATGACGTAGTCGTACAGTGAACGTCAAAGAAATGTACTAAAAAGCATGATGCACGTGCAGAGCTGCTGTTTTGCTCATAACAACAATTGTTGTTGTTGTTGTTTTTTTATGTTGCCTTTTTTGTTCAATCAATCAATCAATCAATCAATCTTTATTTAAACACGGTAAAATCCATCAGGAATTTAAAAATTAAAAATAACCTAACTATCCTAAACAAAATTCAAAACCTGACTACAACTAATCTAACTAAAACCTGTTTTTCATGAATGCCGTGTATAACATTAAAAATGAACATTAACTAATCTTTTAAATTGACTAAGAGATTCGGCTTCTCTCACATGACAGGGTAGGCTGTTCCAGAGAACTGCTCCGCTATAAGTAAAGCTGTTTTTCATGAAATTAGTTCGCGGAAATGGGACAAATAGTTTGTTAACAGAGTCCCTCAGGGAGTAACGCGTTTCATTTCGTTTAACAAACTTAGATGATAAATATTCAGGAACAAGGCCATTTAAAGACTTGTATACCATTATGGATTTCTGTATTTGAAATTGAGTGCTCAAGTCTTTCCAATCGAGTTGTCTAATCAAACGGTTAGCATCAGCATCATAGCTAGAGAAGGTTAAAACGCGAGCGGCACGGTTCTGAAGCTTCTGTAGCCTGTCAAATAATGTTTTACCACAATTACCCCAGACAAGATTGCAATAATCGAAATGAGATTGAATTAGTGAGCTGTATATATAGTGAAGGGTAGGTGGAGGTAGGTGGTTGTTGTCCATGTGCGGGCTTAAACTTTCACTGTGCACTTTTTTTTTTAAATGTGATTTTGATATTAATATTTTTCTTGTCCTTTTCTTTAGACCCTAAGAGACTCACTTGACTGCATGTACGATGCCAGGATACCTACACACTGGAAAAAGGTAAGTGGTCGATTATTAAGGGAGGAGAAAATGTTGCGACATCCATAGATGAAAGCGTTGTAGTTATACACTTAAAAATACTTTCCCGAAAAAACATTGAACATTTTCGCCGAAGTTATTTTTCTTCCACCTTATTGCATTACTCTGTAGATCTCATGGGAGTCTTCCACGCTTGGATTCTGGTACACCGAACTTTTGGAAAGAAACAGTCAGTTTAGGAATTGGTGTTTTGAAGGAAGACCTAATGTGTTCTGGATGACAGTATACCTGCCAACTCTCACGCCTTAGGCGTGAGTCTCACGCCTGCGGGTTGAAAACTTCGATCTCACGCCCGCTCACGCCTGCGGACCAATTTCTCACGCCTGATTGAAAAATGTGAGTTGTTGCCGTATTGCTTGACACAATTTCCAAAAATATGTACTCAGACCCATGTAAGGAACGAAAACCATGTGTAAAATGAATAAATGACAATACCTTCCTCGCGATCTCTGATTTTGTGGATAAGTGTTTTCTCGATAACTTCGCCTTCGGCAGACTTCGGACGTCTTCGGAAGACTTCGGACTTCTTCGGGAATCTTCGGAAATGATCGTGTCGTTTTCAAAAATCCCAGCACTCCCAGGATAAAAATCTCACGCCTACATCTCAGAAAAAGTTGGCAGGTATATGACAGGGTTCTTCAATCCCCAAGGATTCCTCACCGCCATGAGACAGGTGTGATTTATTTTAATTGATAAATAGTAGGCGGTGTCCAACTAGAAAGCTCTTGCTACTTCGAACACCGCACATATATGTACATTACCTCTTCTCAGCCTAATGACTAGTCATCCTTTTTGAGCTATTTTGAAAAAATAGCTCATATGTCAGTGGTGTGAGCGTATGTATCTTTGTGGCTTTGTATCTTTGTAACTTTGTATCTTTGTATCTTTGTATCTTTGTAACTTTGTATGTTCGGATGTTTGTTGCAAGAGCCAATAAGGTTGAAGGTACTATGAGTTGATGCTAAGGAACCAATGAGATCTTGGCATCTACTTAAAAATCACATTGCTAAAGGTCGAACAAGGGCACTTTAAGACCGCCATCTTGATTCTTTACAATTTGTTCGTCTTTTATTACGGCTACAGGTGTTTGGAAACATTATATTAAATATCTTCATGATTCAAACGCTGTCTAAGGTGATGCAGCTGTTTAAGGGTTCATACATTTCTGACCGAATTCGGCTATCGCGAACGGTACCACGCACGTAGTTATGAGTTGTGTTTCACCTGCTTCAAGGTAGAGTATAAACGATCATATATTTTCAAAGCTCTTCCAGTGAAGCAATAATTGATATTTAGATATGGACTTTAATTCGAAAGTATGCGGCCTATAAAATGTGGTTTTAGAAGTTTGAAAAGCAGCTTATTTTTTTTAAAGCTGTACCGAGTATTGTTAATCCTGTAAACAAGCTGTAGAAATATTATTCTCTCGCTCACAAAGTTCAACAGACCTTTTTCGTTCCGGCAAAACAACAACAAAAAGGAATAATAAGTGAACAACATGATACATCCTTCCTGCATACTAAGCATTATAGTTATTGAAACGTATTTTATTTAGTAAAGATGCGTATAAACTTAAGTAGAAACAGTAGCGTTAGGGAATAAAATTGGAAGAAGCTAGTTGACACAATAATTAGGTACTGCTTTATTGAGTGGAGTAACATGATATGAGCAGAAATATATTTCGGCAGTTTGATAATTTTCTTGGAAGTTAATAATTGTTAGGCTATCAACCTTGACGTTGCATGAAACATAATTTAATTGCAGATGTTGTAATGAAGCCAAGGTGATTTCTTAAAATCGTTTGAGAAAATTTTGTAGTAAACAAAAAGCGTTTTTTTTAAGCATGAATTGTAAAAGGGCCAAAGACCAACATCTTCACGTGCAAATTGTGTGCATGAGTTATTTTTATAATTCTGTTTACTCGATTACTGTGTGATAACTCGAATTCCCTCACGTACGAACCACGAAAGGGGGCAAAGTCCAACACTTTCACGTGCCAGTTGTGTGACTGTACATCTCATGCAGATTGGCTTTTCACAATAGTAATAGTGACTTGAACGTATGAAGACCTGTTTTGTTTTGTAACCAATGCCTTAAAAAAGGCTCTTGTCTGTTAAGAAGCAATAGCTTTTAAAACATGAAGAAATAAGTTGTCAGAGTTAAACACTGTTTCACTGAGTAGAATCGCACGTGAAAACCTCGTGAATTGTGATGATGCAACCATATACCACAATGATAAAAATCCTGGTATTTCGTAACTACTCGAATTCGATGAGTTAGATTTTGGCTTAAGAAACTCCGACGAAACCTTAGAGTTTTCCCTCTAATCAACGTTTGGTGAGTAGACATATATTTTACTTTAACAATTTGTTTAAATTGCACCAAATGTAACAGGGAAAGACAGAGGAAAGTAGCATGAGGATCGACGCAGCTGAGCGTTTCGCGTTTTCATTTATTTACGGCAATGCTCAATTTCGCACAAAAACCCAGTCTACATTTAGGACGAAAAACGTAGATTCATCACTCTTGGTAAGGTTACACTGAAGCATTAAAGTTACACTGAAGCATTCAAAATAGCTCATGCACGTTTAACGTGCCTATGTTTTATTATCATTTGTAATATAACTTGTACAAATGTCTTATATAGCCTGAAAATAAAGAATTGAATTGTCCTCAGCAGGGGACACTGGGACCACTGGTGAAGTCAGATAGTGACCCTGTAGGCCAGTTACTTAAACACACCCCGCCATTTCATACTAACCCCGTTTTGAGCTTAAACTTTAAGTAACTACTCTTTCGCTAGTTAAAGGGCAAATGGAATTTGTTTTATTTGATATCAAAACTAACCTCGTAATGTTGAAATCTTGTAATTTTTTTTTGCCGATATTTTACTCTTTTCGGCACTTTTTGTAAATAACCTGCTTTACCTTTAAAAGCTTACGCGCACGACGGTTTTCTATTTTTCAGGAAGTGACGCGTGCACGCAAAGGCTGGGCCCTGGACTGCGTGGTGCTTCATAATGACGTCACGCGTTTCTTTAAAGATGACATCACTCAGCCCCCAGCTGAAGGGGTCTATGTGCATGGATTGTATCTTGACGGAGCCGGGTGGGATCGCAGAGGCTGCAAACTTGTGGAACCCACTCAAAAGGTTCTCTTCACAGCCATGCCAGTCATTCATATCTACGCTATTAACACGACCGCTGGCCGAGATGCCCGGATGTACCAGTGCCCGATATACAAGAAACCAAGGAGAACAGATCTGACGTATATTGCAAGTGTGGACTTGAAAACCAATCAGAATCCAGATCACTGGATTCTGCGCGGTGTCGCCCTGTTGTGTGACATTAAGTAAATTTCTACCTATTACCCAAGGTCTTTCTAAAAGAAAGTTTTTTCCTGGGAACTGTTGTAAACATGGGTAGTTGTAATGGTCGAGTTAGATTAACTTGACTTGCTAACTGTTTATTGTCCAATCACGACAGACGAGCAAAAAGTAACACTACATTTTTATGAGGTATCTTACATTTGAAAATGGACTATTTATACGCAAAGTGTGGAAGAACGTACCTCTATCCGGGCAAGACATTCTGATATGGTATAAAACCTGGCTGAATTTTCTGAAACCTCTACATTGGTTCAGCGTAAATAATTGTATGATTGTGTCGTGGAGTCACTGAAATAGTCCGAATAGTTTTACTGCATCCCTTTATTATAGAAGAAAAGACTATATAGTCACAGAGAGTATATACTTGATTTTGGAAGTTATTTATTGTCTCACTTATTTGAACACGTTTTGAGCAGAATTCTTCTGTATATTGTGAAAATCGTTTTTAAAGCCGAAAAGAAAAGAGTATTGTTTGTCAAGGAAGATGACATTCTAACTACCAGAACATCTGAAGGAAAACGTACGGATTGAAAATTTTATGGTAGTCACCTTCCGTTTCATTACAACTTCAGAAAAAAATAAAATACCACTTTAAAGTGATGCCTTATTCTTCCATTGATGTTTACGGAGCGCTACCACTAGAGATGTAAAGGTGCAGTAAAACGAACAAAACAAAAATTGTACAACATATTTTTTTTTTTAGCAAAATTGTTGCAGTACAAGTTGCACGTTTTTGGTGCTCGTTTTAACGTAGTTTCTTGTTGTGAATCTCAAAAATTATTGATATTGAGTTAAGATACTTGGTTATCGCGTTCATGTCATAGCTAACGTTAGTTCAGTTATTACAGAAACAATGACACATTTCTCCGCAAAACTGAAAGTTTTTTTTTAATGACAATTCAATAGATTAACTGTAATGGTGATTTTAGTAAACCAGTTAAACAGTAAATATAAGAAAACAATGAAATTCACTAGAAAGAAATAGTTCGTATTCACGGGTTAAGTAAAATCACTCCACGGTAGCGTGTCTTGTAAGCTCGATTACCAGCCACCGTTTGGGAAACGAGCTCGCGCTCCTGCCCCGAAAAGACTCCTCGGAGCGGTCGAAAGGGAGCGGCGGAAAGTCTTGAAAAAGTGAAGTTTTTATAGGGAGCGCAAAAATTCCAAATACTCCGTGACACAGTTACTTTTGGCACCTTACAACTTCTCGCTGGGTTGATTTGCTGAGACAGTTAAAGAAAAGCTGTTAACAGTGGGTATTAAAGCGTCGCTGCTATCAGTTTACTTGGGGCGTTATCAAACTGAACAAAAAAATCTTAACCGGCATATCAAGGGTTCTTCAAAAATGATCCGGTTAAAAACCTCTCTTGTGCATGAAGATTTAACACTTAACTTTGACTTCGTGGGACAAGGAACTCCAGTTTAGGGTGTAGCCAAATCAGTCGAAGAGATTAAAAACATTTTTCGCCTCTGTCAAGCTCTTACAACAGCCCTTGTTTTCTGAAGCCTCGTAAATTTTAGATCAAACTGGAGGGAGTTTTTCAGTCAGAATTCCCGGCTTCATATTATAAAAAGTTACGTACTGCTATGCTTACTTTTTTTTTCCTTCCTTCTTTTCTTTCTCTCTTTTGTTAGAAACACCTTAAACGGAAACGTCACACCTTCTGTTCGAATCAATATTCAAATTAAGACGACAACTGGCTGTGCTTATCTGCAGCTAGGAAAAAGCCAGCCTATATTTCTTAACGTATGCAGTCTAAAGGTTCTAACACAACCTTGAGCAGGTGTTATTTTAAGATCCGAAAAGTTTTTTTTTCTTATCATAGCTGACTTCTGGAAATGAAATAAAGAGTAAATTTAAGCTACTAGCTCAAATCTAATACAGTTGCATGCTAAATTATAAACTGTCTCGCTCCTGTCCCTTTCTACTCTGGTACAGCTGGTGGACACAAGGTGGACAGCGGTTTGAAGTCTTCTTTGGGAAAAACAAGGTCTGTCTCGTCCTCTCTGAAAATGAAAGTAAAACTGGTTAGGTTCAAAACTCGGTCCAGGTCAACGCATCTACATATAAGAAATACAATGGGTATTGTTATATAGTTGGAAAGTTCTTCCCGACAGCGCGTGCTCTCACTGGTCCCGTTCGAGGTCATATCTGAGCCAGCAACATTACAAAATTTATGACGTCAGAGGTAACATTGCGAATGTTGACCGACGACCGCCGTTACAGCGAGGTTTAATGATGGGGTTCCAGCTTCAAAATTTCCAGCTCTATAACAATTCACTCCCTTTGTTTCCCAAGAATCTATATGTTTCTTTCGGCTTCACCCCGGGAAACATTGAGATTCTCGAGAAACAGAATGAACTGTTTCCCTCGGGCTGGTAAGTTATGAGTTGATTTATCCTGCTTTAACCATGTAAAAGAAAGGAAAAGAAGATTTCAGACAAGCAGAAACTTGCCCTACACATACCAGGCAATGAGGTGTGCGCTAGCGCATAAATGCAATCAATACTCCAAGGGCGAACCATAACAACACTCTACATCCTCCACAGACACAACAGACAGTCCTCTGATCTGATTAAGCTTATTTCAGCATGATTAAACAGTGTAATAAGACACTGCATGACACTGACGCCAACAGTTGAAAAAAAAAATCTCCGAGGGTGTTATCCGTCGAGGCCGTACACCCTCCTCGATCTCCATAATTCCTCATAAGATACTCAGCCTCATTCACTAACTGTTCAACAATAATAACAATAATAATAATGATGATGATGATGATGATGATGATGATGGTGATGATGATGATGATAATAATAATGACAATAATAATAATAAAAGAGAAGACGTTTTACCTTGCTACAAGCCTCAACAGCAATTCAACCTTCTTTGAAGAATCAACCTTGATTGGGTCAGCAGTGGTGAAGTGCTGGGAGCTGTATCCTTGTAATGTTGTTCCTCCTGCTTTCCACGTTGGGTCGTTTTCCGGCAGGACACGACCAGGATTAACAACTTCATCAAAACCTATCACCACAAAATAATGAAAAAAAAATCGTTCTCGGACATTACAGACAGTTGTGAGCCTTTTTATAAATCTTACTATTTTATTAATTAATTCATTTATTTATTTGCCACACGATAAGAGAAACGTAAAAATATAAGGTATTAAGTAGAAAAGTAGTGGCGAGGAGACCTAACAGAAACTATAGGAAGCTAATGAGAGGTTAGGCCTCCTCCACTCACAAGCTATGGCTCTTCACATCGAGTGAAGCAAAAGATGGCGTTAAGTCTAAGGTGGACATGGTGGAAGTGATTTAAGATCAGTTTTCATATTTACTTATTAATTTAATCTTTAGTACACCGGGCACCTTGCAGTGTCCCTGGTGCTGAGCTGGCTCCAAAAAAGCCTGTCTCTTAGATTGAGGTGCATAGAGACGATGGGAAGCTTTTCAATATATAAAGCAAAAAAAATTACGCTACTTTAACAAAAGTTATTGCACGGCTTTGCTGCCTTTTGAAGTCATAATACACTTAAGCCTGCACTACCAAAACCTGACGCGCAACTGCCAATTCCCCATTTGACTCATTTTCATTATATGTAGCCCTATATATCATCCCCACGGGTGACCACACAGGTTTGCCTGTTTAAAGTTGCTCCGCAGGCAATCATGATTACATCTGGCAGAGAGGAGTCGCTAAATGTTAAAAAGAAAAACTGTCTAAATATCTGCAGCATCTATTTACATCTACTGACGCAACAATGAGTACACGACAAAGTACAAGACAAAACATTACTCACCCTGAGTAGGTCTACTCGATTCTGATCAACAGCATGAAAAATGAAACCAAAATAAAATAACGCAAAAAATGGTTTAAGTAAGATTATCAAGTCGCCACACTTAAAAATCCTCGGGCCGGCGTCCACCCAAATTTATGACCCAAACTTATGGTACTGCTATAAATAGCCAAAAAGAAGAAGAATTAAAGCACTCCCCCCCCCCTCCTCACCCTCCCCAACCGTTCATATTCAGTGATCATCAACATAACAAGAGACAAGACACAATGGAGCGTACACTTCGACGTCGTGGTTGTGGAACTGATTAATTGTAAATGCGGAGGAATAGTTACTGTAAGAAATGAAATATAGTAAGCGTATGGTGTTAATTTGCGAAAAGAGAAACATCCAAGAGGCCTACTTGCCAAAAACTAGCATTTCGGGGCAAATTGTCTCTGAGATATTAGCCTACTGTTATGCTCTGATCATACAAATCCTTCTAAATTTGACTTGGGTCTAAACGTTTAGACCTAAGTCAAATATGAAGTTACTGACGGTGAATAACAAATCTGACAAAACAAACAGTAAAAAAAGGTTCTCTATTTTTCTTACATCAGGCTTCAAAAACAACATAGCAGTCTCAATGACATAAGAGATCTATAATCCACTCACTGGTAAAAATCTGTCCACTATTAAATTAACGTGTATATGAGAGTAAAAGCAGACAATGGTCAGTTTTTCTGCATCTATATTTAACATTCTCAGAGGCAACAAGCACAAAAGAGAAAACGGAAAAGGCATTACTTACGTCTTTCAGCTCCTACCATATTCATAGATTATAAACAGGCGGAGAGAAAAGAAAGAAAGATAAAAGTGCATGAGTATTGTTAAAACGTCAACAAACCACTAATACCAACTGCGACATTCTTTGCTTTCAGTTGTCGCAAAAAAGGACTAAGAAAACTCATTTTCCAGCAATTTAGCAACGTTGTTTGTTTTGGATAATTTAGTCTGTTCTACTAAGATAAAAACATGGCAACAGAAAAGATAGCTATAACTAAATTCCCCTGGCAAAACAAAGGTCTCCTGACTATTAAATTTAAAATGTAGGCTGACTAATAAGTTGTGCTACATTTGTTTACATCAATTTCATAGCATTTTGTGAATTTTAGGCTTTATTAGGATATGCATACT